TGCAGTTATAATGATTAAACTATCTATACATACTGTAAGCAAACATCTTACAAGTCTACTAGACCTAGTAAGAGTTTGAAGGGGAGTGTTAAGATGAGACTACACGAGAGTATGTCTCAGATGATATAAACTACATTACAAGCAATGACGAACAATGATGGAATACCTTCCATCATACATTCTACATCTGAGACATACTTACATAGTATATATAGACTAACTAATCAACAGACAATGAAGCAAGCCGTGAGAGAGCGAGCCGAGTCCACTATCCCCCCTCTTTGTGTGATCTCTCTAAGCCTCTCACTTAACCTCTCTTCCCCCTTTCTTAACAACCTCAAATATGTATAGCATCAAAACATCCTCTGTATTTTTAACCTGTAACAATCTTAAGTTACTATACACTCGTGCGTTACAGAGACTTACAGCTTTAGTCGATAAGATACGTGGGTTGTCAATAAATTTAAGCTCGAATTCGACGTCCATCATTAGTTTCAAAATTGACTGTGCTGGCGAATCACCCTCGTTCAACTCTTCACCTGCCATTATCTTAAAAACTTCATCTACTTTCTCGTAACATTCTTCGGCATCCATTTCCTTACTCATGCCTATTTCCTTCAGAATGCGAGTTACCTTCGCAGCCTTAGTCACCTCTTTGTACCATTCTCTATCTGCGACACGCATTCCTTTTAAGAATATGCACTGATCGAAGTTGGGAGTTATACCTTCAGGAAGTGGGGGTTCTCTGTAAGGTCCTGTTCCATCGGGAACTTGAGCATGTTACCAGGATCGCTCTTGGAACGGAAATTCAATGTTGCCACCATTAGGCATTTCGGTCACAGTGCTGGAATTGTACCCAGTATCCCAATCTACAGTTTTCCAAATCTTCGTTTCCCAATCGCCAGTCAAAACAGTTTTGGTGACAATCATAAGGTTGTGCAACTGAGTACTGAATCCCTCTTCCTGGCTAAGTCGCAACCACGAGAAGCAATTGTCAAGCATATAGTCCCGCATCTCTCGGATAGATAGTGCTACACAACGAGTCGCCTCGAACTTCGTTATGAGTGCAGCACCACATATCTATAGGCAGGATATTTCCACTTTCCTGCTAGTGTTAATTTCAACAGGTGATCTATCAAGACGTAGGAATAAGTAGGAGGGGGAGAAACACGGGACAACTGTGTTGCTGACCCTGATATAGGAACACTATCGTCAATTATCCTGATGTTCTCGGAACCTCTGCATCCGGGACTCAAAGAATCCAGTTGTGTACATTGCCTATGTGGCTCTGCAATCGGTTCAAACTCGTTTGGAAAGCAACTGTGGTCATGAGTATTTTCCAAGGTATCCGGGGGATAAAAGGTGTTGAATGGTTTTACAAATTTACCAAGGTCGTCCAACATGAAACCAACGTCGCCAACCCGGACGAAGTCGAAGCTGCCATGCGGATTTGGTTCGTAACATGCATGTCCGAGGGTTAGACGAGATAGTGTCAGAGCATACAAGTCGGCCTGACTTAGGATACCCATTTAGCAAGCACGTGTTGGTTTGGGACGAGGGCTGAGACAGTCGTTGTATCTGCTATATGTACATGATATTACCGTCCTTGCATCAAGAGTCGGATGGATGATAGAAATGTGGCTTGAGCTGTTTCACAGTGTCGAATAGCATTGCACGTGCACGAGTCTAACAGATCAGCGTCATGGATGACAAGTACTACATCTTCAAGGTCTTACACACGGATCATGCACAACCTGTACTTCCCCCCATGCTTTTAATGCTGTTTGTGCAGTGCATTAATTTATATATGGCATATGCAGTAACTCAAAACAGCTTAGGTTGGATTATGCTAGATCTATAATTCAATATCATTAGGAAGCAATTATGTACAAATTGCACAAATTGGCCAAGACAATCACTGAAGAAACAAGGCACGTAGCGATCACATCATTTATATCCAAAATTTTTTAATATGCAATATAAACATTCAGGTTATGAGTATTTAGACGTTGGACCAGGTATCGGAGAAGAGAACAGATTGTTTTGCACAACAGAGACGAAAGAAAAGGAGCGTCGAGAGGAGTACTAGGAAAATAGAAAAGGAAGGACTGCATGTGTGGATAAGAAGAGAGGCGCATATAAGGAGTGACACATAACAGAAGACTGTAGTACAGATGAGATAGTGAGAAGCGGAAAGGCATAGGTACAAATAATAAGGGAATGGCTAGCGATACATCGGCACCTGCGCGGTAGCAGGATGTTTTTTCTTCTGAGTTCCTCATATGCAATGCCCATTAAGTTGAAGAAGCAAGAAGTACAAAGCCCATGTATCCAAGATCCGTTGAGAGAGTCAAGATTAGGTAGCTGTTTGCGAGATCTAAAGAAATCCAAGTCGGAGAGTATGCGTTGCTTCGATCACGGTAGATCGAATGGGTTAAAACACGATGTTGCTGATTCTATCAATATCTGTAAAAAATTTACGGCCGGTGAGTCCAAGGAACCAAATTCGGTAGCCGTTTAGAGAGCAGCTACGAGTGCCGTCAAAGTCTTCTGCACCACATCCGCAGCGGCGCGTACGACCTCACGTTCCTTCACATCCACAACGCGCGCCAATACACGCGTAGTGAACTTATCCGGATGCCAATTCTTCAATTCATTCTTAGCAGCGAACCGTTCTCCCTTCTTGGTCCGTGCTGTTGCCATTTGAGTTGCGCGGCACATCGCATGATGAATGAACTCGCGCACGTGTTCTGGAGTGACATCCGCAGCTGAGCGAGGGATGGTGAGTGAAGGCCATGGAATGCTTGAGAAATCGAGAGATGTGTTGCCTGAGAGGGAGGTTATGGCCGCCCATTGATTTTCGTACCACTCGAAGTGGGCGACAAGCGGGTCGACAGGTTTGAAGGAAGTAGAGTCGTTAATGTGTGATGCGGGATTGAAGTGTCGTCCACTGTGCGTGCGTCCATATGGATGCGAGCGAGAGTGCGCGGAACGTGATGTCGACGTACGTTCGCGCTGACGAGCGTTGAACGCCCTGCGACGTTCCCGATCTTCTTCATCCGCCCGTCTCTTCTCTCGTCGCTTCCGCTCGTTTTCCTCCGCTCTACGTGCTTCCTCTAGCGCATACTCCTCTTCCCTTCCCATCCGCTTATACTCCGCTTCCCTTTCCTTCCGCATTCTATACTTCCTATCGAGTCTGCGAGTCGCATCAAGATACTCCCTCATAAGCCGCTCGTTCCAGTCCTCCAGACTCTCGCGCGATGCCTTCTTTTCTTTCCGCGCACGTCGTTTCTCATAAGCATCTCGCTCAGCATTCAAGTCATTATCCCGTTCTCGCGTAAAGGAGGCGAATGAGGATCCGGGATCAGTAGGAGGGAAGTCTGACTCTGCACCGGTGTAAGAATTGTCTGAAGACCCAATACCGGAACTGGGGCCCATGGAAGAACCAGAATCAGAGCTACGATTTGCACCGGAGCTGGAAGAAGGGGAGAAGGATTCATCAGACATGCCTTCATTGTCATTCATAGGGTCTGAAGGTGTAGTTTGTTCATATCTGGGATCGGGCTTGCGTTGAGAACGGAATTGAGAATGGGATCGCGGTTGCGGTTGAGTGAATGAACCCGGGTACGCGCCCGGTGCATTAGAAAACGAACCAGTTGGCGTCCCGCAATTCGACCATCCTGGAAATAATTGCGGCATTGGACCCGAGTGAGCGCGAGGTTGCGTGAACGAACCAGGGTACGCGCCCGGTGCATTGGAGAACGACCCAGTAGACGGCGGACATTCCGGAACGTTAAATTTCGGAAGGAAATTGTCGTAGAGGAAGTGCAGACTACGTTTGAGCATGCCCCTAGGTTGGTGTTGCTCAGTGGTCGTGGCCGCGGTTTGAGACTCATGTGGCTGGGACTGGGACTGGGACTGGGACTGGGACTGGGACTTTTTCCTTGGCTGATTGAACCGCACGCGCGCTTCAGCGAGTTCCTCAGGCGTTAACGAACCTTCATACGCTGACGGGCCATTTACTCCAAATTTATTACTCGGCCAACGCTTCAAGGGAGACTCCTTACGCGTCCGGCGCGTCTCAGTTCCATATTTCCCCTGTGTCTTCGTCTCCGCTTGGCGTCTCTTCTGACGCGCGCGGGACTGGTCATGGCGCACCTTACGAGCGAGGTTTTCCGAAGATGGTTCCGAGAGATCACTCTGGGATGGCACGCGGATACCCATGTTCCACCAATTGCTTAGCCTGTACGTACAAAAAAACAGCATGAGTACAACGCGTGGCTTAATAAACAACTAAAAACCTCGGAGATGAAACATACCTTGACCTGAACCAGCAGTAAGCAAGATAATTACCGTTCTTCAAACGGTTTGAGTGTCTTGATGTCTTGGGATGTTGCAAAGGGTGGAGAGGACGTCGCGGAACGCGGTAGGTTTTTATTCCTTAGGAGGACGCAGCATCATCAATACGGCGCTTAAGCGGACGACCTTCCCAGGGTTTCGGGGTGGCCCAAACACGCGCATACAGATTTAAGCGAATTCTCTCTAACGGAAAAATAGAAACTTCGTAATGTCTTAAGTGGTCCTTTATTGAAACAAGAATAATACAGACTACCATGGCACACAATCGCTGCCAATGGTCCACAGCGATGGATTGTCTTTGAACGCTTTTTCTGTATATTTACCAAGTTTGGATGAAGGAATAGTCCAGATTTAGTTCTGTTCAGTTGCTTGACGCGTCGACGCGTTTCCCGCACGTGCAAGTTCTTCACTCAATTCTGCGCAATTCTCTAGACTGGAGACCATATTTTATTTTATTTTTTCGTCTCAGAATTGAAACAATGGAGCTTGTATTCTCTAGTATTGGCTATCCCTCCCTAAGCTATCACCACAGCTTCTTAGCCTCTGCTTTGGCACTTGATCCTTGCTAATGGATGATGTACGCTTTCGGTTTATCCAAGCAGTGGGCGAAAAATAAACAATTAAGTATACAACAGGCCATGGAATAATCGTATACAGACGTGTGTAGAACAAAGTCAACAAACGTAGACAGAATAGGAATAAACGAAGAAATCCTGGGAGAAAAGTCCGCCGAAACACAGATATCAGAATATTGGAAATAGACAAGATTTTGTTAATGGAAGAGATATAAAGTATGGATGTATCTCTAGAACCATCAGTGTCAGATACGTCAGTCTGTTCCTTTATGTTAGGTTATGGTATAAGTATGACAATTCAACCATGAAAAAAAAATCCCTGGCAAGGACCGTCAATTATAGCTCAAGCCCAAGCTCACAAACCTCTCCCCAAAGCTCACAGCACGCATCACCACCGACTCGTCAAAGCACCAACAACCACCCCCATCCCCACAAGGGCCAAAACTCCCTGTGGCATACCTCTACAGTGAATTGCAGCATTCGCACCGACGGCACCATTCTCCACCCAATCTCTCCAAGCAGCATACATCATCACCACAAACGCCTGTCCCTCTGGACTGTCCTTCCCCTCTTGCCCGAAGGAATGTGGGTTCACGACCGGTGTGAGCCAGCCGTCTGACGTGAAATGCGTCATGTTCGCCAAAGACGACGAATCATTTGAAGAGGAGGGTGAAGGTGAAGGAGGAGAGGAAGAGTTGAAAGACCAAAGCTGTTTACGAACGAATTCCGCGTCGGGGAGGTGTTTATGTGTGTTTGTAAGTAAAGCATGTCGGTAGACTGTTGATGCGAGTAGGACTGCGGAGCTTGCGTCGACGAATGTGGAGTTGTCGTTTACGTAGTTGTGGAACATCCCGTCGTCGCGCTATAGAACACGTCAACCATAACAAAATAACTCAGTTTTGCACACGGGACAAAACACGACGATAATAAAGGAAGAAGCTTACAATATGCGCATACATCCCATCATGTATCTCATTCACCCAATTCCTCAAATCCTTCGTCTCACTCTTCAAAGCATTCCTATACTGACTATTTTGAATCGTCCCAAGTACGCGAAGCATGCCCGCGGCAGCCCATCCATTCCCTGTACTCCAAAACCCTTCATCCTGAAAATCGGATCCCATGACAACATGTCTCCATAAACTTCCGTTGTGTGAGTCTCGTAAGTATTTTCGATATAGAGAAATTTGGTTGTAGGCTTCGGAGACCATGGACCGGTTTTGTGTCATTACGCCGTAGTATGCGAGGAAGGGTGGGACCATGTAAACGAAGTCGGACCTGCAATACATTCAGGAGAGACATTTAATCAAATTAAACCATAATTTCCTTAATAAATAATGGAAACGAAACGCACCAGAGCTGTACTTGTGAAACTCGATGACTAATTGCACCGTCCTCCGTCTTTGGCACCGCACTCGACCACAGGTAATTCGTCTGGTCGACAGCAGCTTGTCCGTAATTAATACTCCCATTATTCTTCCCCGTCCAATTTGCAACAAGCGCTGCAACGCCGTTGCTAGCTGGATCCGCTGCGCTGCCGTCTCCTGGGAAGAACGACTGTGGACTGGAAAGGTTCGACGCAGAGGCAGTAGTGGTTTTGTTTTCGATGACGGCTGCGATGATATTGAGGACAGTAGATAGTGAGTCAGGTGCTGAACTGGGTGGAGGAACCGAAGTGTCGTTGAGTACGGAGAATGTTGGTGTGTTAAGTTCGATGAGTGCTTGTTGGCGAGTGCCGAGTTCCCAACTAGGAATATAGAGTCAGAAATTATTTTTGCGAGGTTTGGGGGAAAAGTGCAAATAAATGGGAAATAATGACGTCGGTGAGAGCATGACTGCAAGCGTTTCCGTGCAAATCGGGACCACAGAAGCGCACGCAGATCCCGACGCCTAGAGGCCCAGCCCTGAAGCGGAAGCGCTATTCCTTCTTTATCCGCCCACAGTGCGGGCGATCCCGACGCATAGACGCACAATAATACGACACACAAAGTATACAAACGAAATGGAAAGGCACATGTAAAATCGAATAATTTAAAAAAAAAGTATTATGATGATATTCCTCTCACCTTTCCTTCGCTCCATCTGCGAGTCGCTGTACAACAGTTGCGATCTGCGCATCTGTGAGATTATGCTGAGCCGCTTGTGCCCGTACGCCAGGGAGCGCAGCAAGGGCGACGGTAAACAGCGTCACTACGAACGAGGACAGCGTGTTCAGTGGAGTGGGCAGCGCCGGCCGCCGGCGTCGCCGAGCTCGTGTTTTTGAATGTTGCGTCAGCATGTCGTTCGGCATGTGTATATATGCACTTGGGCGGTCGTCTATGTCTCTACAACGAACACACAACCTCTATGGTCGGAGTGTACAGTGAGGACGGAGGAGAATGGCCGGGGAATGGGGCGTGAGCAGGAAGGGGAGCTGAAAATTGATATAAATAATTTGTGTGCCGCTGCCGCCATGGTGCTGGTTGGGATTTGAATATATATGAAATCTGGACTGGCGATGGCTTGTGTCTTTTCTTAGCACTCATCACACTCTATTCTGCTTACATACACATGGGCATGGATCTGCAATACGTCAGGCGCCAACATCTTGTCCCGCTTGTCCCTGCAGAGTAAATTATGCGAACGTGCCTTGCTCGTCATCGCACTTTGCTTTCTCCATTTTCGTCAGTTTTTGCCTCCACAGACGATTTTGCTACATTTTAAGTGGCGCACTTTCAAGGATTTTTCCATCCGGGTCAGCCAAAAGTAATGCCGGCACGAACACCAGCTCAGGACTCTTCACACGCTCGGTACAATTAATCAATCAATCACGCCTCTTATACTTTTTGCTCCTCGCTGAAGATCCAAACGGGTCTAGAAGATCCATAATAAGTCCTATAAATAGTACAATATCCCCTTCTGGTGTATGAATCATGATCCCGCCCTAACCTGTTCGTTGTATACCTGTCCTAATCTACAATGCATGGACCGGACTGGAGGCACTTTTGATGCTGTGGTGAGTTGGCACAGAGGCCTAGTCCCCAATGGGTACGATTTTCCCGAGCTATCTGTGCGCTTCCCGTCCTTTGGCACAAAGTTCGGGGATATTTAAAGTAGCGCTGGAATGAAACATTAGCACGAAATGCGTGCTACTATATTGACTCCACTATTGACTTTACACTTCTCTATTTGCACTATATTGCTTATATTATCCAGACTGAAAAGAGATCACCTCGCCTCCGAGAAATCTCGTACTAATAAAATAAATAATAACAGGGCTGTCATCCCTAGTGCATTCATAGAGGTTTACAGCTTATAGTTTATGAGATACAAATGAACGATGGCGATATTATGACTTCATTTTTTTAGGACATGTGCGTGTCGTGTCGCACACACACACAAGTTGCGGAGTGCAGTCACTGAGTCAGAGGATGGAAAGAATCTAAGATGTGATGATGTCATTCGAAACGTTATTACACCCGTTTGCATAAATAATGAGACTTTTTGATTTTGAGCGACGTGATGTAATGTAAGAAATCACATGATTTTTTAGACTTAGAGGAAATTTGCAGGCACAAATTAGCGAATGAGACGTGTTGTGCCAGTGTCTATGCATATATTTTGAGCTGCTACAATTGTGGGTAACTGCTGCATCAGTAGAGACCTCAAAATCTGCTGTCTAAGACTGTATGACCTTGATATTTTAAGCTTGGACAACATTCTAATCTGTGTGAGATTATCTCAGGCTACTTTTTTTGCATTTGCAAACTCTGGGAAGAAACCAGCAATGTCATTCGCTGGGCGCCCAACAACTGCTCATTGTGCTCAGCCTCGGAAACTCAATAGAATAGCAATAGACAGGTTAAAAAGTTAGGGACAGGTAGCAGGAGGTAGACTGTATGCACAGACGCTGGCACGACGCTCATTCACTCTGTCTCAATGATCATGCTCGCTATTATTTTCTAAGTTCAAAAAATCATGGTATGGTATGGTATGGTATATTTCCTGGTATAGGTCCCTAAAAAGAAACACCAGGGCTGCTGGTCTATTGTACAAATACAGGGTAATTTATCTTGTGATTTCTTACTTTTCTTCACTTTGCTCAAAATCAAAAAGTCTCATTATATTTGCAAACGGCTGTAAAACGTATCACGTGAAATAACGACTATCGGCATCGCGCTGGTTTTGGTTTTTTCCTACTTATTAGTCAATGCTGCTTTCACCGTAGTAAGTTATACAGTAACTTACATCTTTACCTGGTCCTACAGCTTGTCCAGACTCTGCCTCTTCTGCTTTGGCATATTTCTCTTAACCACGGTCAACGTTTCTATCTGGTAGCCCTTGTCTGATAGGTACCATGCTGAGAAAGTTTTTTCACGGAGGATATTGCCGATGGCCCACAGTGCGTGGTCTGCGACCACCACATTGCAGACTTTCTCGTGCATCTCAATAATTTATATGTTGGGCCATCTCAACAAGAGTGTTGTATGTGGTCGGAAGGCCACCATACGGTAGCAATAAATAGCAGTATGTGAAGCTCTGGTCTGGACAACTTGCTCACTATCAACGGACCCCTGCACTACCCTACGCGCTCAAATCATCTTTCCTTCTTCAGATGTCTCATCCTCCTGATTCTCAGTCAGTTAACGCTGAAGTGGTCACTCAAGAGCAACCGAGTGAACCATCTGTGAAAAACAATAAAAACAATGATACTCTACCTTTCGATATCCTCTGCGAGATTCTCGCTCAAGCAGGACAGATGTCATGGAGGGAATCACCACTTTGGGGGACCGAACGGTTGGAATCCTTTGACGAGAGCTTGACGCCGTCGTATTTTGAGGAAACTATTCACGATTCTTGTTTGTCGCGTGTTGAACCCATGCTAGTGCCGATACGCCTTTCGCAAGTTTGCCGGAGCTGGAACTACGCAGCAATAGCATGTCCAGCTGTATGGGCGAACATCGACGTCCCCTTTGGAGGTAGGGAGGACAAGAAACGAGCTGAATGGTACATAAAAGCCGTCGATAATTGTATCCAGAGGTCCAAAGCTGCTCCACTTAGTTTATCGTTTAGTTGCGCTTGCTATCACGAGACACGGGGTGCCAAACCGATTCGTGACGCTGTGGAGCGCGTTCTGAAGAAGTTACTTAATCATCAGCATCGGTGGAGACAAGCTTATTTCACTTTCGGTGAATGGAAAGCTAGCAGTGCAACAACAATCGAGCTTCTTGACGTACCTCTTTTGGAAACGTTCTCCATTTGTTGGAGAGCATCTCTTCCGAGCGCAAGACAAATATATATTGATACTTCGCATTCTCCAAAGCTGAGATCTCTGCACATCGGTGGCCTTCCTCATATTGAAACTAGCGACGGGAATTTATCCAGCGTGACGGAGTTGACATACCCCGAGGATTCTGGATACCAACACGGGAGAGTTCCTCTCCTCGAAATTATCCAACAGGTGCCGAATTTGGAATCTCTGACGTTCTTGTTCTTTCAAGGGCTAGAAGGGCATGAAAATCTGCAGTACCCTCCGACATCATTATATAAACTCCACACTCTTGAATTTGACACCTCTAAGTCTTCTGCATTTATCATCAGTAAACTAATCTTACCAACACTGCAGCGCTTAATTTGTCACCAGGACAAATACAGTGCACACATTCAGAGCTGGAGGTCTTTAAACACGTTTCGGCAGCCCCTCCCTTCTGTCGAATACCTGGATGTCATTGGTTTCGAGATTGTCGACTACAACCTCGCTCCGTTTATTGAACTCCTTCCCAATCTGAAATCTCTTCGCATGATAGGCATACATACATCCACCTGCATAGGCATTTCGCCGGATTTCTTCGACGTGCTGTCCATGACGAGACATCCAGAAGTTATTTCCCGCCTCGGAATGTCAGCTCAATTCTGTGTCCCAATCTCACGGAACTTTGTCTCAAAAATCATTACTATATGTGGGATGCAGAATGTGCTGTTAACTCGTTATACAATATGCTTGAGGTGCGCTGCAAAGCACTCGACCTAGTAGCTTCTGTCGCATGCTGTATCAACGATGACGATGCTCATGTAATAGACCAGCATTTCTATGTCCCTTTCGCTGGCATTGATCGCAAAGAGGTGCTCGAGACATTCAAGCGCGCGTCCCAGTTGCTCATTCGATTCATGAAGCGTAGTGAATTTGCTTTTGACCCTATTCAGATTGCCGCTGAAGCTTAGCTTTCTCCCTGTGCAAATCATTAGTCTGTGACAAATACTATAGTTAAAATGAACCAATTCATATGCAAGTGGATCAATGTCGGACCGCTACGTGTGCAATAAATATACCCCACCCGAACTTTGTGACAACTATGCGTCAAACCTTTCTCTTGACACGCCTTGTCTTGTACATCATCTGCCACTCTCAAGATTGAAACTACATTGCACAACATATCACGAACGAATAACTGAACAAGACATCAGAAAATGCGAACTAATTAGCAAGACAAGAGAATAAGCACGCAGCGTCGTCGCAGCTTAGAATATTGGAAACATAATTGTATATGAAAGCAACTAATATAGTATCGGTGGGAATCGGTTGAAACTACTAGTGCTTGCGCAATATCTATCTCTAGACTAATAGACATCCGAGGTTCCTCAAGCACTCATCATCCCTTCGTCATTTGAATTCGCATTAGCTGGTGCACCTGAGTCAAATCAGCTGGGTCTACACCATAAAGGCATAAGCAGACATACCTTCTGCGAATTCTATGTCACTAACAGACCTCGATCGGTAATTGGTTCCTTCGTTTACCCCTCTCTCTCCTGCCTTCTTTAGATTGATCAGGAGGTGGCTCCCGAGGACACAGAGAAGGGTTGGACTTCCAGCCGCACCAAGGAGGTTTGAAACTAGAGGATTGGAGATTGATAACCTGTTATCCAATATCTTCATTATGCAACAGAAAATTACACTATAACAACTTGAGTTGGATAATCGTGCATAACTTCTGTACTTACAAGCCGTAGTATAAAAGTTGGTCCATGATGAGAACTCCGACAAGGTGGGACCCCTTGAAACCAGACTCCATTTTCCAGTATTCTGCTGCCTTGAACACGGCTAAACAAAGTAAAATCATCCCATATGTCAGAGGGCCAGACCTGCATTACATAAGAGAAAGTACAACAGTGTAAGCATGAAACTCACCAGGAGACAGTAGACAGTATCTGTGGAGTCTCTTTGCTAAACTCGCAAATTTCGAACCCCTGTGCAAGGCTGCCAACAGTCACTAAAGTACATTATATCTGAGTTTACTCTGTAATTAAGGCAAAGTTTAATAGACAAGCTTACTGTCATCATATAGAATTACATAAATAAGAATGCCGAGACCCATGCTTGATTCTATTGCAAGAAGTAGTTTGAAGCAGATCGAAAGTCTTCTGTCTGGAAGAATTAGGTTGAGTTGCAAGTCTTAGACACTATCTATAAAAGTAATGAGCCTACTCTGTTGGTAAAGTGCCAATACACGAATTTGAAGAATGTCTGTAGAGCAGTAATATAAATACAGTATATTCTGTAAACGTTGGAAGCAATACTTGCAGTCGATCAGAACAATTGTGAACAAGCCTGGCAGGTAGGTTAAGTATGATGAATAATATAAAGGGAAGATAGCTTACTGCACAAGTCAATTGCCCAAAATGTTGCCCGGCCTAATAGCTAACTCAATAAGGACGAATAGTCAGAGGAGAAAACGTACAGCTGTAAGCGATACAAATTCGGGTTCAAATTTAGTGTATGCCAGTGATAATTAAATTTGCTCTCTACCTCAAAAGATTTTGTTTGAAACCATCGACTAGAGGACAATACCAATGCCAATTATTCTCACAAGTTCATAGATAACAAAAATATCTGCTTACTGAATATCAAACAAATTGCTCCGAGGAGTCCAACACATTGGTTCTGAGCCTTGGGGTTAGAATGAGCCAGCTGCAGCATGGATTGCTGGATCTCACTGCAAAATAAATCAGGCTAATAGGATTGCACGGCTTCGGCTTTTGTCACAATCTGTTAGCCACTGGCATGGACAATTCAGTATGGAGCTCACCCAAAAATATCTCATCTGTAGAGACTTAGACTCAGCAAGTACTGTAGAAATAGTAATATGATAGGAATACCTCTTTATCCAACATCGTCACTTAAATCGTGCTTTCTGTCAGTGAAATTCTTTCAAGAAATTATAGTACTCACAAGTATGGTAGACTAAGATAGTCAACATTGCCACGTCGAAATATTTTGCAGTGATATTCTCAGAGAGAAGCATTTGTGCCAGGATCGGATCGATGCCATCAGGTTCAGATCGGGCTAAGATTGAGTAAGTACGCCTGTAGTCGAGAATCTGGTTTGCCATTGAAGAAGAGAGTACAAGAGAGTGCAGGACAAGGTAAAGGATACACCCCGGACCAGCCGTCTTCTTATAAGATCCGTGCATGAAAGATGATGCGAACGGGATTTATGCTTCGTCTGAGATACAGGATAGATGCTGTCCATTCACAGTATGGATCTACAGGATCAAGCACCCGAGCTGGAAGACAATCAAGCATTCTTGATGTAACCTACCGAAGAAACAAACGGAAATGATCGTTGCACCTCGTGGGGCTGAGTAACAATGACATCCATGTGTTGCACTCAGGTGATCACTGGAAACTCTTTCCACCGTGATTGCAACTTCTGAGGCATTGCAAAGTACAGGGCGAACTCAATAGTTGGACTTACTATGTAGAGCAGATCACACTGCATATCAAGTATCAAGGATACACCGGGCGACCTCTTGTGGGATCTGTATCAAGTTCTTGTATTGTTGCAGTTTTTAGTCTAGTTATTGGCCACTCATGGGTCATCAGATTGAAAAAATGCGTCAAGATCTCTGTTGAGTTGTAGAATGCCACATTGTCTGTATAACACTGTACATATTCCATTTCAGTACACAACATTGCATTCCCATTGCCCAGTGAGATAAGAATAGGATGAAGATCATTTTATGTGTCCACTTGACAGGAAGACGTGTCAACATTGTGAGCAGAGTATGTTTGGTGCTTGAATTTACTGTGTGGTATAGCACTTACTGAATAAATAAAAGCATACTAATATCCTGGTGAAATCACTACAGACCAACAGGAACAGATATTATAGGTATGAATTCTTGCACTCTGAAGCCAACATAGTTTGCAGGTACAGACCTAGCAAAAAGGCTTGTTGGCCCTCCCAAAAGGGTAAGTGATTAGAACATGATTTGTATAGACCTTTTTGGAAGGAGATTTTTTGTCAAACCCTGCAGCTTGATCCTTTTATCTAGAATCTAATAAACAGTTGCAGCTTTACCTAGTCCAACATCTCATTCAACCCCGGGTCTCCTATGGTTTGGAATTTTTTTTATCTGTTTAATTTTCCATTTCCTAACTGTTGGCCAAGAGGCACTGTGTTCAGGTGACAATTGCAAAGTATATGCCCATTAGTCTAGACACAGCAGATATATAAGATATAGTACACAAACATATTTGTCCTATATTCTAAATCATATTCTTATTGTCTAATCAGAGGCCTGCTTCAGAATATTGTTTAACATATAATGTGAATATGTTTGTTTATTATATTCTAATATGTCTGCTATGAGAGTGAATAGACTGTAACCACTACACTGCAGACTTTCTTGTGCATCTCCATAGTTTACAAGTCTTTCCATTCTGACAATAATGTTTTATGTGGTCTGAAAGCTGTCATGTAAGAGTATTAAATACAGAATGTAAAGTTGAGGTCTACACAACTTGCTAACCCCAGACTGTAGTGAATCCCTACACCACCTTACATACTTGGCTTGTCTATCCTTCTTCACTACCTTGTTTCCTTGATTCTCAGTCAACTAACAGTCAAGTAGTTACTCCTCAAGAGCATGGACTAATATCATGGAGGGATCTGCTGTAGTGGGAATCCATTAATGAATCTATACTGTGTGAGGAGCCTATACTGCCAGCCTTGCTAGTGCTAATGCACCTTTCAAGGAAATCTTGTAATCAAATACCCACCAAGGCTTAACATTTCTCCCTGTTCATACTAGTCCACACAAATACTACAATTAGCATAAACAAATGGAAATCCAAGGTGAATTATCATTTTTATGTTTGTAATAGCTTCTGTAATAAGTACTCCTTGTCAAAATTCTGTGCAGCCCTGTATCGAATATCCGCCAGATGCACGAACATAGGCCCATCATATCAGCTTGCACATCTCCATAATACACGGTTCTTTCTATTTCAATAAGAGCGTTGTGTGTTGGCCGAAAATGTATGACTATAATAGCAGTCAATAGTGGCTCAGCACTTGAATACTGTACAGTCTTATACAAAAACAAATTGTCCGTGTACGATGCAAAACTCTTCGACTCGAGAGTAAAGGCATGCATCTCACGGGCCATTGCTGTACTCGGAGGAATAAGCACAAACTGTACATGCCTTTCCCTAAGAGCATGGATGGATTATTGTCATCGATGAAATGTTTAAGCGTAATGTATTCCTATCATATCAATCGTCTATAGAAGAATCTAAACCCTTTTACAAAAGAATACGAACTATTAAGGCACAAGAAGTCATAAAGAAACACGGCAGAGACCGATGGGGGGGAAGCTGAATAGGAATAAGCAACGCTTCAAAGTCCAAGATGCATGCAAGAGTGATTAGATTACACAGAAAGCGAATGATCAGTATGAAATCGAGAGCTAGGGCGCAGACGTGGAAGAATAATAATGAAAGTAGGAGTGGGAATAGTGATGTGCATGTGTACTAGGCAATTAGGAAGTCATATATGTTTGAGTGCTTCAGAGCATAGATTTCGCAAAGAGTGACGATAAAGATGAATGGCAATAAGAAACCGAAAGGAATGTTTAACAGAGCTGCCACATCTTGACATAGTCACTATAACGCAAATCAGTCAGATGATTGGTAGTAGGATGAGGACCGAAATAACTTACATAGCCATACCACGCTCCTTGACATCCTTTGGCCACGTAGAGTACCATTGACTCTGAGCGTGAGCAAAGTCGTACATCGCAGCTACACGACAGGAAAACAGAAGACATGAGGTCCCTTGGAAGGGAAAATAAGACGCTTGGTACGTACTCTCAGATTGGTCAAGCCATGGCTTGTTTCCTACGTTGTCGGGGAACCAACCGTTCGTTCCGCCGACAGCAACGTTCAGGATCAGATAGAAGGCTAAAAGAGCGTAATGTTAGTGACAGGCTATCTGTAAGGAAAGGGTGGAACGTACATTGATCGAATGGAGCAGAGAAGCTGTCTTCTCCCCAAGGGTTCGGAACAGGGATTTCCGAGGAGCCGTTAAAGACTGTGGCCGGGAACTTTCCTCGGTCGAAGAAAGGCTCTTTGAAAGAAAGGTCAAGCATAAATTGAAGCCGGGAGTCCACATATGAACGACTAGAAAAGTCAGTATCAGTATCCAGAATGCATTCTTAGGAAAGAGATGTGGCCACATACATGAACTTATTCGACCATTCGAGCGTGTACGTATGGAAGTCCTGGTTGTACGTCGATCGACGGGCCGACCAAAAGCCGTACGTCTTAAAGCCTTCATTGAGCCAAGTAAGTGGACCCCAATTCAGGCTGGCGCGGACCGTATCGACGCCCTGCGCGGGATAACTCCTGTCGTTACCGCGAGCCTCCATAATGTCGATTTCTCCAGAGAGCGGCCACGGACCATACGTGTTGTCGACGGGAAGCATCCAAAGAGCGGGCCACATCCAATCTCCCGTCGGTAACTTGGCGCGAATCTCGACTTTTCCGTACTGGATCGACGAGGTGTTGACCGTAGTGAGCCGTGCTGACTGGACAGGGTTGATGACAGTCTTCGTCGTTTGGTTGGAGACGGCGCCACAGGCAGACGCATTCAGCGAAGTACATCCGGTAATGTTGAAAGTCTTGCCGTTGAAGACTGCGTCTGGCCCAATGACATCAGAAGTGAGGGTGGGTACGATGTAGAGAATGCCATCCTGGACGAAAGAATTGTTCGGCGAGTTCGTCATCATCTCAAACTCTCCGTTCCTAAACGGTAAGTTAAGATTAGCTGGGTCTGGACCGAGTGAAGAGGAACCCGAAGACGAGAGATCAGCGACGACGAAACAGTACTCGACGGAAACACGTCGATCATTGTCCGCGTCAAAAGCCTAAAATGTAAATCGAAAATGCGGTGGTTTCCGATCAACGCTTGGAGCGCGAGTATATGTGCTCCGCATAGAGAAACATAGAAAGGAGTGTATCATAGGAGGAAAAGGTGCTTAGAGCTGCCAACATCTCTACATCGGATGCCCGACGGGATGAGCAGGGCAGTTACAAAATGTTGACTAAGGCATGGGAATCGGCGGCGAGTCTCAACAGACTAGATTAAGCTCCGGACTTCCCGCCAACAAAAATAAAGAGTCCAAAATGGAAGCGCGTGACAAAGTGAAAATACAAAAGCATTACTCACCCGAAGCCATCCATTGCGACATCCCAGGACCACTTGCTTGTATCAATTTTGTCGCCATTGAAGTCGTCTTCGAATACAGGGCATAGGTTGCCCTTAAGAAGCTGGACGTCCTTTGCTCCAAACCAACAGCGTACGAAACTCGCAGCGATACCGAGCATCGAGATCACGAGTGTAAGCCAGTATGATACACGAGCGCGCACTTCCGGCTTCTTTAGCCAAGGCTTTTCGATTTCTGTACCGGGCTCCAGCATCTTGCATTCCATGCGCTTCGTTGGGTAAGCCTTGCGCTGGTCATGGACTTGGAAGACTGCTCCTAGGGCCGACTTTTCCGAAAGCGAGTGAGCCGATCCGGGCGGAGTTAGATGTGTAGAGGAGCCAAGGGTGCCGATCGTTCCAGCAGTGCCAGGTCGCTGTGATACCCGACGCTGCGCTCCCATAGAAACAGCAGACGGAGGCCGGGCCATTTTGGGAGGTGCAGCGAAAGATTCACGCTTGGTCGGAGCAACCGCACCAGAGCCGCTGGCAAAGTCTGCGCCGCCAGAAATGCGCGAGCCGCGACTGTGCGAGGGCAGAGGAGGAACAGGGGGAACTGGGTAGTTGGACAGTGTACCCGGTGCGGTACTGACGCGGCTCAAACTTGCGTTCTCGATAGATCCTGCCCAGTGTACACCTTGGCCATTTGCAAGCCCCGCGAAGCCGTATGCAGGACTCTGGATGGAGAGACGAGAAGCAGTTGCACCAGCGAGTTGCGCAAGGCTGAGGTTGTATGTTGAGCCAGGAGCCGAAGGTGCAGGACTATGTGCTGGAGTCATGAAGGGATCACGCGGTGTCGGCGGTGTAGTATCAATAATATCTTCAGTCTCTTCGCCTTCGACATTCTCGGGAATAACAAACTGAGCGGATGACGTTTGAGTATGCGTATGAGCTGCTACGGAGCGGACGCTAGCAGAGTGTCGAAGAGAGCCCTGCGGGATGGTGAAGAGCTCGTCGGAGCCTTTGTTCGGAGGCGCGATTGGAGAAGAGTCCGCACTACTGTTGGACATGATGAATAGTGGGGCACAGAACGAGCCAGAAGCAGGTGGAACAGATCAGTGAAGGGAGAGCGCGAACACGGAATGTCAGAGTAGCGGGTACAGCGGGGGTCAGTCTGCACACAGTGGAAATGTGAGGGATCTGCGTGCATAATATACTCATTTGAGGTTTGGAATTTCTATGGGAGACGGATACCACCAGAGCGGCAGTGCAAAATGAAAAGATCGGAGGGCGCACTTGCGCCGTACTATCCCTTCATCCGTGCTGGCTGTCCAGCGGACCGTTGTCCATTTCCGATTTGGACCTTTCTCTGAAAATACTTTTCTTCTCCCGTCTCCAGGCCCTGACTCGTTTCGTCTGAGACTTGCTTGCCGTCATCCTGACCTCGCAGGATGTGATCACCCGCAGTTATCGCAAATATGATGGGAAGATTTACTACACCATGAACCTTATTTTGTATTGTCGAACTGAGCTTCCGGACATGCTGATGGTGATCAGCCGGTTCACCGGACTTCCTCACTTCGACAGATTCCGTATCAGCTTCACCTAAAGGCACTGCTCGCAGGGACCCGAGTTCCAGACATGTGTTCTAGCATGCTATCGCCCGAAATGCGAGATTGTATGAATAAAAGGAGGTACGGTACGGCAAGTACGGAAGTCGCACGAACGTACGTGGGTTTTCCGTTTCTGCATATCTCAGCGCCATGAGCTCCTTTCTTCCTGAGGTCAGAAGAAAACAAGCGAAGGCGAAAACAGACCGCACCTATCTTGGTCAATTGAGTTCCAGTCTGAATCCCCTTGGCGTAATCAGCACCTCACGTTGCGCTGGCAGGATCAAATGCCAACGAAGGTGCCGCCGTCGATGCCAGACTTGAGACAAGTGAACAAGTTCGGAGGTAATGCGACTCGTTCACACATTGAATTAGTATAAGGAATCTTTTCGTCCTTTCTTTTCCGCGAGTGATTGACAGGTCGTTTAGAGGAGTTACTTGAATCATGATGGGGTGATCATTTGTAGAGAATTTTTTTCTCTCAGGGATCAGGAGTTGTTTCATTCGTCCAGAATCCCGAGCACGTTAGCCGACAGATCTCTTCCAGTAATCCATTTGTGGTATCCGAAGAAGTACGGCAAGAACGCGTTGAGGTGTTTTCATTCAGGAGATAGAGTCGTCGCAGTCTGCCTTGATGAACGTAACCGTGAAAAGGTCATTCATTGTGAGTAGGTCCCAAAAAGGCACCTTCCATATGCGGGAACCTGGTGGCGTTTGATAAATCCAGGGAGAGCGAATGAAAATACAAATTATTCGGAATAAAATTGCTGCCGGCCGATGTGCCGGATGAATATATCAGATACCTTTCGACTCCTCTTTATCGTAAATTAATTTGTCTGGTTGGTTATCTGTACGAAGAGTGTGCTCTAATTCCGTGTTCCTGTCATCCAGAATGAGGAATCAAAACGCCTCATCACTCCATGCATCACGTCATTTACAAACGCATGGCTCGCGTGGTTTAAGAGTCATTAGACATACCGCTACCGGTGTAAAGCAGGAACGATGATGATTTCAAACAAATTATGACCACGATTATGCCTCAATTTAGAAGCAAACAACACCTTAAGCCCATTCATACCACCGTCGATCACTGATAAAATGGCGGGTGATCTGAGCTTGAGAAATTAGCTAGTTCATATGCAAATTCATTGAGTCATATCGCGGGATTCAAGAACACGAGAACATGCGAACCAAGCTGATATTAAATCACGTAACGTGCAGTTGTGTACATACAGACACAGCACGGCGAAGGTAGCGAATAGTACGTACACCAGGCAAGTTCCGCTGTCTCGTTAGATGTCTAGCTCAGCTCCACATTTACTGCGGAACTGTGCTCCTGAATCTACTTTCGAGCCAGGACGACTGTGGACAGCTTTCGGAAAGCGCCGTGAAACAAAATGTGGTCGGAGATTGGACGCTTGGGACCTATGTAAGCGCTCTGGATGATCTGATGCGTTGATTTGCGTTTTTTGCCCCGGCACGCCACATTGTGCCGACAGGTTGAAGCTCATGCTCGTTCGTTCCTACAAGTGAGACAGGAAGAATGGCGAAAGCACCTGTGCCTGTACTCAATCTGCGGATTTGGAACCACCCCGAGAGGCTAGCGCCGCTGACGCGACGAGGAAGTGCAACGTGTCGAAGACGAACACCCACGTTAACGGAATTTGCTCACGTACATCGGAAATAGGCTCGCTCAGAATATACCATACTCTCATTCTCATTCTTCACGGTTCGGGCAGGTATCCCGTACCTTTATGTGTCGCCGCTGAATCCACGATCGCGGACAGCAGGCATCCTGCAAGCTCTCAATCTTCTTTATTCTTTAGAAGATTGTGCCTCCGGTGCACCGGATCCTGGACGCTTTAGTGTATCCATCGACATTTCTGCAAAGCGCAATCTTCTCGCTTCTTATCAATTTTGCGAAATCGAAAGTTTGCATTCCTTTGTCATCGGACATTCCTGACTGGTGGGTGGAAAAGATAAACATGTTAACTTGGTTTTCTATATTTTATGCAAGGTTTATCGGAACGTTTGAGAAACGGGTGAGTCCTGGGTGCGGCCGAATGCTAACGCCGCTGACGTCCGGACCACACCCTTCTTCCAGAGACCTGCGCTAGCCCAGTCGGGGAACGAAACACCCATCGCATTCTCTTGTGCTGAACGTCTACAAACAGGATGCACCGAGCTTCCCGCGGCCATCACCCCGATACTGCCAGCGCTAGCCAGGAACCCGCTCCTTGGCTGAGGCGGGAGTCGCCGCGACCACTTCTGTCCAGGCAACCTGGAGCGTTCTCGACGGCTTCAACGGCTGGAGCTTCGGGAACTCGCGGAGCGTTTCGCACATGATGGCCGGCCTGGCTTGGATAATATGTGTAGAAGCAGAGAAGGGGTGCTTGCCTCGACACTATACAGGCACGCGGCAACGATACACCCATTCCGATCAGTGCATCTAATAGTACCGCGGATCCAAGTTTAAGACGAAGCGTAGCTGGTGAGCAAATCCTAGCGCCACGACGATGAAAAGAACACCGGCCTGTTTTCGATTCGAATACGCGAAAAGATATTTTCAGTGAGTTATGAGAGAGCACTCAGCCCAACAATCTGAGATAAGGAAAAATATGTTATTCTTTGTTCCAAAGAAACCGAGTTTCGTTTCTCCGGACCGTCGCACAGTGCGGTCAATGATCGGACGATCCGTACTCATTGCAGCCGGCCGCCGCAATGGTATAACGCTTTGCAGCGTGGTTTTGAGGAGCCGCACATTCAATCAGGAGTACAAAGAAACCCTTCTTCCTCGCATGGACTCAGAGCGCGTGGAAGCAAATGTTCTTGATATCGACATTCATTTGAGATGAGGCAATCTAAAACCTCCTTCATTCTGAGCGAGTGATAGATAAGCCAATTGTGTTCTGAGAGACACTACCGAATTCCGATTTTGAGTGTTCACCGTGTCAAAGTGCGAATTGTGCTACCACTTCGAGTCGAATACAAATCAGAGAGAGCCTCGTACTAGGTATTTGATATACTGTATACGAAGACTCGATAAGAGGTTTAGATGTTAAAAAGCTGAGATGCTCATAACTTGTAAGTCCATGGCAGAGACTGAAATTTGATAGCAAGTTCACTGTGGCTATTGGTATGATACTACAATGCTGGATTCCAAGTAGGCGGAATTTCAATTTGATACTTTATGACTGAGTTTACTACATCATGAAATAAGACAAATCTGATACACGCACATGATGATGTTGAGCAGGAACGGAATGGAAGTACTTGTCTACCCTCGTGGCATGAGTGAAAATTCATATTCCGGATATTTTAATAGTCATGTTGCGACGATCTCGTAGGATCGTCGATATGACGGCATGCGACATGTCTGGGGAACACATGGAAGCTCTTGTTTCTGGAAAAGTAAGTAGCTACGTCATAAGTCAAAGCTTCCATGCATACATTCACAAATTACTCATTTCTATGCCATTCCAGTCTTGCCAAGACGCACGGAGAAACATGAAGCACAACAGGGCTTTCCATTGGACATTTCTGCATGACTCTTTTGCCGCTTAGCTAGATCAGGTTTTCGAGCGGAGATTGAACCTTGTCCAGGGAAAATGCAAACATAAAACCTTGTGCAGAATCCTTGGTTAGGCAAACTTACTCATTCACTACACTTTACACTGAATCTCTAACTTTGCGAAGAATTAAAAACAGAAGTAAAGGAAAGGGAAACCTTGATGGCCGTAAGTTTTCTCCTCTTGGCGCTTTGTTGCCGTGAGTTCTCTACTGCTACGCCTTCCCCCTTCTGCCTTCCCTCCGTTCAAGTATCGGGATCAGTTTTTGTGTGTGTATTCCTGTACTGTAGCAACGAACACCCATGTGGCCAGCCGAACGTGCCGCTCGCTACCTCCCCTCAGCATGCCGGTTCCGTAGAGACGATGATGGTGGACACTGAAGACATCAGAGAAGCATTGTGGAATCCTTGGTTGCGGCTTCATACCCTTCGGCGTGAATTCTGCTGTCTGTGGTGATTCCGCTTCAGGGTTGATTTGCACAGGCGAATGAAGGGTCGTCGGATTGAGCTGAACGGAGACGGAGAGAAGAGCCATTAGTAATTTTATGAAAGGAAGGTGTAATGATAATCAGATCGACTCTACCGAGTGACTACTATATGCGATCTGTTAAGTCATCAAAGGCGCATAATAATGAATCCAGCTTATCCGTATCTATCCAGCCGGATACCTTGAACATATGTATCAAAAACATGTGCAAAGATTCTATACGTATCAAAAACACGCACGCAGAATGCATCCAAATTTATGTATCTCTCACACAGAACTTGCTGTAAATTAATGTCCTATCTCTCTTCCCGCTCGTTTCGTTTCACCGCAAGTAGATCTTGCTTCTTTGTTAAGCGCTCCTCCCGTTTCATCGAATTTCTCATTACCATCTTCCATTACATTCACAGACTATTTCCTCCTCGGGATCGGCATTCGGTTGGGGGGAAGGATAAGAGTAACGTTATCACTCAGTCGGCACTCGGCCACACCACAAGCTTCTTGGAAGGAAGGCGGCGCGTCGATGAAGCTAAACAAAGGGGGCGATCAGGTACAGTTCGATGTACTGATAGTGATAGCAGTACAGAGACGGATTGAGCACCAGATGGAGGGTGTGTGAGGAGGTTTGTGTGTTCCTAGACTAGACTTGACTGGATTATTGAGACGGAGAGTTTTTACTGTAATTTTGTACGTATATTGATTTTAAAAAAGAATATGTATTGTACGCTTCCAGTCAAGGAGCTACCCAGTTAGGTTGATACCGGCCAGTAGACTATTGTAAGCCTGAGCTTCCATGGCGTTAGAGTTCCTTGAATGGAGATGAGCCAACTGATAAGTAAGATTGCGGTTTGGATCAAGATAGTCAGAACCCCTTGAGGTGATGATGAACATGAACGCAAGGCGAGGTGAGGGACAATCAGGCACATCTTCCACAACATCGGGGCTGACACGAGTTGACATCGGCGTTTGCGGTTGAAATAACTGAATAGCGCGTCTATGTCGCTTTAGCTTTGATCATATCATTCAGTCATGGCAATCCAATATTTTACAAACCGTTGACAGAACAGATCAGAGGTCTAGATCTACAAATTGTGGGATTAGAGAGACTCAAATAAGTTCCTACACACATGTGTTCATAGACTCGGACCCCGTCGTTCTTTCATTCGCCAGATAGGAGTGTCGTATGTATTCGTATTCAATGAAGTTAATGATGGGGGTGCAATGGGTTGATGATCGTGGCGGCGGCGACGCACAGTGTGAGGTGTACACTATCGATAAGAGCAGATTGAACGGACTGATGAAGGAGAGAGGTGAGACAAAGGGATACTATGTAGATTCGTAGATACCGTAATTGCAACACGAGGAGACAACTCAATTCCGAGTTGAGGTGATACTGAGCTTTTACCGAGTCGCCGTCGGTATCGGAAGAAAGAATCCAGATTTATTAGGACCTGAGATGTAGTAGGACATGCCGCCTATCGCATTTGTTCGCTAAATCGCGACACACAACAAGATAGGGACACTACAATCTAGGCGACCGGACTTTGATCCTTGATGCATACGGTATCGGTATCTCAGTATTTTACTTATCACGCTGAACACAAGAATCGTTACTCGTTATCCTTTTTTTTAAATTATACATCACGGTTCCGGCCCGTCGTTTTCCTCACGCATCCATCCGCTTCAGGTTTAGTGGGTCTGTCGGAAAAGAGGGAAACCCGTTGGGCTCGTAAGTTAGTTTACTATTCATTCCGCTTATCTTTGATGCTCTATTCGATTTTGAATTGGTTGAATTGAAATTGATTGGATAGGGGATTATTTTCTCTTGGTTTTTTATCCTTCCTCCGTCCCGCGATTTCAGGGCTATTCGCTAGAACGAGTGTGTTTTACTGCGTGGACATCGAATCGAGAGATGCTAGAGTCAGGGAGAAAACGCCTCTAGACGTATTATTTGCATTGCATAGGGGTGAGATGCTAGAGTCTGGGAAACGTTCTGAGTGCATTTGCATTACGTGTAAATTGTATTGAGTTTGGATTACGCGCTCTCAAATGTCTATTTCCCTCTTTAACCCTCCCGTTGAACGGGCACATTAAATCGGAAAGGACGACAAGGCTACGTACAAGAGCGGAGAGCTGGTGTCGCGGGTACCTTTCTTTCGCCCTCAATCAACCAACAACATCGAAACAACGGAGGCAGAGTTAAAGACAAAGTTGAGGCCGATCAGGAACGAGTGGTGTGGCCAGTCTGTCGATCGAGGTCCCGAGGTCCCAAGCGAGACGAATAGTTTTTGGCTTCCGCACCGAGTCGAGGGATGAGAGTGTATTGGATTAGAGAAGTCCGTTCTAGATTTACAGGGCGATGGCGATGATAGAAGGTAGAGTTAAGATGGCGCTAGCGAGGTGTGTGCAGGGCAGGTACAAGTTGTAGTACGCTAGCAACTCGAATGGCATAGTACAGTTACAGCATGATGGAATTGACCTGGAGTGTGGTGCTGATAGAGTGGATGGGCGGAATTGAGACGGCGTTGGACTGGAGTCGGCTCAACTCGATAGCGGTCCGTTGGTGTCGCCTTAATATCGTCGGACGTCGGACGGGTGCACTCATACTGTGGTGCTGTGAGCCTGTGGTGTCGAGAGTCTTCTACTTGAGACGATGCTGTACAGTGACACGTCTCACGTGAATGAATGTCGATCGCAGCCGATCAAACGCAAATCCAGCAGCGCTAGTGGTGCCGTACGATATATCCATTACCTAATAGCAATTAATTACTCCCGCGGGTGATAATTAAAGGCATAAGGAAGGCAGGACCCTACGCGGAAGGCGAAGGATCAAAGTCATTCAATGGGACCTCGCGGTAGAAGTGAGGAGAAGGAGGAGGGAGATGGCGGCGAAGAGAAGGCCCAAAATGTTACAAAAGGGAAGAAGGCAAGAAGGCACCCAGAGGGCTGGCCGGGGCGTTGACTCGCCGCTGAGATGGGGATTTGCTGGGAAGGTAAATTTCACGAGGACAAGAAAAGAAGGAGAGGGAGGGGGGGCAAGGAGCAGAGAGACGGCGGCGTGCCTTGGGTGTTGAGAGAAAGGGGAGTAATTGCGTTATTGCGTGGTGTGTGTGCCAAACGCGCCGAGAACGGAACTGCTGGAGTTGGACAGATGGCTTGGAGGGCTGTGCTGTGCTGTCCCATCTTTTTTCTTGCGTTTCTTCGTGCAGTTCCTTTCTGGGCCCCGAATGTGTGTGAGTGTGACAGATCACATCGGATGCTGTTATTTGGGTGGTTGTTTGTCGCGTTATCCGCGCGTGGAGTGCACGATCGACGGCCTGTTAAGTACTCCTCCCCCTGCCAAATGCAGTCCCCGACGAGTCCTCATCCTCCCCTGCCTCGCATCTCCCTCTCCCGCTCTCCCTCTCCCTGTTATCCGAATTCCCTCCCATCTTTCACTAGCGCGTTCTCATTGGCAACTCAGTTCTCGCACACTCCTGTGTTTCTCCGAGGTCTTGCCGCACACGCTAGTTTTCTCTGTACCCGCTTGTAGACTACTCTACTCTACTCTACTCTACTCTACTCTACTAGTGCAACCATGGACTACGACGCGTACGATGCAATCCTCCACCACGTCTTCAAACAGACTCAAGGAGATGCATGGTTCAAGCCTTCAGAGGAGAACGCCTCTGCTGGTGTCTGCCTCCGGGTCCAGCCAGGCCACTTCCGTGTCTTCCCATACGAGAACCATTTCCTTGCCCCCTTTGAGGCAGCCGTCCGTGTCCTCAACCCTGTCGTCGCCGTGAAAGTTCGCAGTGCATCTGTCCATGCTGCTCTCGCAACGACGTACGTCTTTTGATGCGCTGTATGCACCTCGAGTGTGATGAGACTGACAGTCCAACCATTATGATAGCTCCGAGGACGATGTTGCCCTCTATGTCGACCAGAACACGCGTATCCAGATCCTGGAGAGCATGAACCGCCTCCCTCGTGCCGACAAGGAACAGTGCGGTGCTTTCATCGTATGTGCCACACATTTCCATACCTTTTCGCGCGCATATACTCACATGCATCTTTTGAAAGCGTGACGAACGCGTGCTTGTCATCTGGTCCGACAACCTGGACAACATCATTCCCATTGTGCAGGACTTCGAAGACAAGCTCATTAAGCTCGTTTGGCGTGCTCGTCTTCCTCTCTCCTCGGCTGCTTCCGCTATAACTTCAGGTTCTCTCGGTACACACTCCACCTCCCCTTCACAGCAAAATCTTAATGAGAAGCCAAAGAGCGAGGCAGATTCGGAAGAGCAGAAACGCACTGAAGCAGAGAAGCGCGCCAAGGCCGCTGCCGAGGCGAAGAAAGGCTTCTCTTGGTTTGGTTGGCGTACTACCAAGGGCAAACACGGTTTGACAAGTGGTGATCGCACCGAAATGATCGATGTCGAAGCTGGTGGCGATACGCCCGACCCTCGACCAATCCGTCTCTTCTCTCCGGTCTATGGTGGACTGGGAGCTGCCATGTCCCTATTCTTTATCGGTTCGGGTGCCAATATCCTCGTTCAGGAATGGATGCTTGACGGCGACGCGACGCGCTTTGCACTCCTTGTGACAGGACCCTTCCTGTTCTGTGTTTCCCTGTTCTTCTCGGTGCAGGTTATCACGAATATCTCGTATTTGATTGGCCCGGTTGCACAGTTCCATGAGAACAGCAAATACTACAGTGCTATCGCACCAAAGCCAAACAAGCACGTCGACAACCATCTACCGCACATCACCATCCAGATGCCTGTCTACAAAGAATCGCTCAAGGAAACGATGTACGTGACTGTTCTCGTTGATGATTATGAATACTGATGATCTCCGTAGTACTCCGTCCGTAGAATCACTGAAAAAGGCCATGCAGACCTATGCACGGCAAGGAGGAACATCAAGTATCTTTGTCAACGATGACGGGATGCAGTTAATCAAGCCGGAAGAACGTGAGGTGCGCATGGAATTTTACGCAAACCACGGTATCGGATTTGTTGCTCGTCCAGGACATGATAGCGTGAACCCCGACGGGTTCAAGCGTGCCGGACGGTTCAAGAAAGCCAGTAACATGAATTACGGCCTGGCTCTATCGCTGAGAATGGAGTCGTGCATCAAGCGTTTGGAGGCAGAGCTTGAACAGCGCCGCATGGAGACTCGGGCTAGCAGAGCTGCCAGTCGGGAGGACTTGGCAACTTCAGATGGATACGACGACATCGATGAGGAAGACGATGAAGAGGAGAAACTCGAAGACCGCGCTTTGCAGATGGCGATCGAGGAGACATTCGCGGAATCCGGAAATAGGTTCAGACCATGGGCTTCGAATGCGCGCGCTTTGCGTATTGGCGAGATCATCCTTATCGTTGACTCTGATACCATCGTCCCCGAAGATTGTCTGCGCGATGCTGCTCGTGAGCTTGCAGAGTGTCCTGAAATTGCGATCATCCAGCACGAATCCGACGTTATGCAAGTCGCGCATCATTACTTCGAGAATGGAATCGCCCACTTCACCCGTCGTATTAACCGGTGTATCTCTATGGCATGTGCAAATGGCGAGGTTGCACCATTCGTCGGACACAACGCCTTCTTGCGCTGGTCTGCAATCCAGGACGCATCGTTCATCGACGAGGCTGACGGAAAGCGGAAGATCTGGTCCGAGTCTAACGTAAGCGAAGACTTCGACATGGCACTTCGTTTACAGCTCAAAGGGTACACGATCCGCTGGGCGAGCTACAGTAACGGTGGATTCAAGGAAGGTGTCAGTCTAACGTGCGACGATGAATTAAACAGGTGGCAAAAATACGCGTACGGATGTAACGAGCTCATCTTCAACCCGCTCATCCATTGGTGGCGCAAAGGTCCCATCACGAAACAGCTACACACCTTCATATGGAGTAACGCACCGATTCACTACAAAATCTCCATGTTAAGCTATATGTTCAGTTACTACGGTATTGCGGCGGCTATTACACTCTCCCTGATCAACTACCTCGTTCTCGGGTTTGCGTTGAACATCGATGGGTACTATATGCACAGTTTCGAGATTTGGCTGGCATGTACGGTTGTGTTCCCTGGAGCTGGAAATGTCGGCTTCACGTTGCTTGAGTATCGGCTTGGAACGAGGAGTTTGCTAGATGCGTTGATTGAGAACTTGACTTGGGTGCCGTTCTTGTGAGTAACAGTGTTCTACGACACGATCGCACGTGACCGATTACTAACTACTTTCCCTTTATAGCTTCTTTTTCTTCGGCGGTCTCTCCGTACATCTCTCCCAATCCGTCCTCGCCCATCTCTTCTCATACAACATCACCTGGGGAGCAACCAAGAAAGAAGTCGAGAGATCCAACTTCTTCCTCGAAGTACCCAAGATTCTAAGACGATTTTGGTTGAGTATCATTGTATGTGGGTTGATCACTGCTACGATGGTGATTTTGAGTACGAGTTTGGTTCCTGTTGAGTGGAGGATACCAGGTTTTGATTGGGCTGTAATTTTCCCGCTTGCGGTTACTGTTGGGTGTCATTTGTTGTATCCGATTATTTTGAATCCTTGGCTGATGATCTTTAGTTACTGAGAGTTACATCTCTCAGGTTTCTTTCTTTGCTTTACGTTTTTTTTTCGGGTTTGAGTGAAGTATCTATTGGGCTTTTCGAGTCTTGCTTCCCTCATGCACTGTGAAACAACAGTCTACTGTCTTTACTTCTTAACTTTTACCCCTCTCGGACTCTGCTCTCTCGCTCTTGCTAGGAAAATTTACCAGTCCATCCATCCATCCTCGCTCTTGGTTTAATGATTATATATACAAACACTGTTTCATGTCCTTGCTGAATTAGACTATATTACATACTCACATTTTACTTACATTTGCCTTGTTGAAGTGTTATAGTTTCGTTCCTTTTTGTTTTGTAGATATGTGTATGTATGAAATTTGCAATGATCTAAAAAATCGACTGAAAAACATTTGGGTGGGTTAGGATAGTTGTTCATATGGACGTTGAAATATTGAAAATAGCGTATAAATGGATTAAAATATTTAATGAACGAATAAGTAAATAGGCAAATAAATAATAATAATAAATAGAAATTATTGAAGCGAGTGATAACGTACGGTTCCTATTTAAAAGTGGGAAATACTACAGGAACAATTATAATCGCTTGTTAACTGCGTAGACAGTACAACTATCTGTTTACTGTTTTTCTGGTTGTTGGCCTGATGAAGCGAAGTGTGGATAATGAGTCAGAATATCTTTGAATACTTTGTGTCTAGACCAATACGTAAAACTGGGAAATACTCTGTACGTGTATTTGCATTCATGTAGTGCCAGGTATGATTGTTTGTCAGTGGTACGAGACTTGATTTCATGGTCGTTTGTTTAGTGAAATGAATTAAGGATAATGAGCCGGAAAATCTTTGAATGTGTAGAGTCTAGACTGACACGTAAAAATGATAGATGGAACTGAGAACCGAAGAGGACGAGTGAAATGAAGTGATTGCTACTCGATGATACTTGAAGATTGTTGACAATTAACCCGGCGGATGTGGACAAGGTACGCCAGTAGCACAGCATCACTGTCTTGATAGAGTGATAATGTACACGGATTAGTTGGTTTGAGTGAACGGAGATCGGAAGAAGAGCGTTGCACAAAAAGATAAATTTGAGATCTAGACAAGAAGATGAATAGGAGAAGATAAATATAGGTACGTGCAAAGTCCTTACTTTACCAAAGTATAACGGAGTTAGAGCTGAGGGTACGCGATATGAGCAATGTTCGGGTTGTTTGCAAGAAATACTTTGTCCCTGGTAGTTGGCCCGGCGTGGCGGAGGAACAGTCGGAGGTTCGGGTTCAGAAATATTGATGAAGCCCACGCGGATTAGACGAATACTCGCACATTACTACCATGCATACAAGGCGTTCATCGGAGAGAACGTTGCAATACTTTCCGTAAGAATTTTAGTTTCTATAAGAGCCGTGTTCACGTACCGTGGAAGTTGGAGAATAGGAACCATTTTTCACAGTATCACCATGTATGCAACGCGATGTTCGTCGGGAGGAAGTCGTGGTGCCTGCTACCAACCGCAATTCACGTACCGTGGAAGCTGAAGAATAGACGGAGGAGACAAGAAGGAGAGGGAGAAGAAGCAGGCGCGAGACAGTTACGCATTACCACCGTTACTGCCTTTAAGCACGTATAAGTGTACAGATACTTAGGTCTGAGGGAAAGAGTGGCAGAAAATGGAAATGATAACCTGAACGAAAATGACGACGGACGATACTTGCACTCTACCGCCACTTGCGACAAAATACCAATTGAACGCCCTAGAGAGTGGATCGAAGGGAGAAGAGAAGCTGGGGTAGTTCGGGCAAGACAAAATTAAACATTGATCAGCGGTTTTCATATCTAGCGTGGAGTGATAAGAAATAGAATAATCGGGAGAAGAGACGTAGAAGAAGTGAGATTCTGGGAAGTATTTACGTATCGCGGGCGGTCAACTGGGACATGTGAAAACGAGACCTAACAATAGAGAAGCTAAGCTGTGTAAAATGGACAACGGTTTCGCTGAAAAGCGAAGTTCACAAAGAAAGACATTGTAAAAGGGGTGAGTACTGGGGAAAGTCATCAGCTAAATGTATTGCAATCGAATTCGGAGGAAGTTCCATATCCTGGAATGAACGAGAACGGGAAGCGATCCAGAAAGTTTCGAGACGTTCGAGAGGAACGCGATGTGACTCTCAGTCGAAGTTCTAGAGGGGAAAGAGGGTCTTGACTGTATGTGAACCTTAGGCGGGAGTGCCTGCGGATAAAATGCGTGTACGCAATGCTATCAAAGTGGCGTAACAGAAACACGAAAGCAAGTTACAGATGAACTACGAGATGCAAACTCTGTGAACGAGTGTGCAACGGCAAGAAGAAGGATGTGAGGAACGAGAGCTGAGAGAAGACTTTCCAGGCTAAGACGGTAGCGAACGGAAGTTTAGAGATGCGGCGGCAAGGTGTGTACATACTTCTGATGCTGGCCTGGCCAGTAGCAAACCACGTTTCTGGTGTGAGGATATAGCGGACGTCGGAAGTCCGCCACGTTGAGCCGAATATCGCTCCTATTTTGATGCGGACATCTATGTTAGGATGATAGAGAGAGTTTGGCTTCACATTACGGCAACTAATTAAAAGGAAAAGACTAGAGCACCGACGGTCACTTGTGCAGCGGGGTCGTATCGAAGCAAATTGACGCTTAACCAAAAGGATAGTCGTTGTACACAATGCCGTAGAAGGTCATGAATATCTCTTGTTTTCTAATCGTTAGAAAACTGACCAATGGGGAGACTTTCTAGGGTGAACAAATGTGAAAACTGTAGCCACAAAGCTGGTCAAGATAGGAATAAGCATTTCGCCGAGTATGGGGGATCCGTTCGGTGGAAGGGGGCCTCCAACGGTACTTCTAAGGTAGAGGGTGAAAACTGACCGTTGCCCCTGACATCCGGTCGCTTGGTATCGGCCGTGGTTGGTCCCGGCATCGACGGGCGGAGAAACACTGCTAAGTCACAGAGAGGACAGTGATGCTGTAACCTGATCATTTGCGCTGCAGAAATAGATTCGGGTCGGGGAAGCGTTGATGACAACCAAATTAATCAGAGGTGTGCCAGCATGCGCCAGATTTCAGGGCGTGGTAATCCAAGCTGCTATTCTAGGAAGACACTATAGTTAATTGGATCTACTGCGGTAGGCTGTAGAGAGAATAACAATGTAAACACATCAGACGGTGGCAGTGAGATGGAAGTCACCTCTCTTTCGATTCACACATGAGTCCGTTTAGCGTGCGTTAGAGAGATGCCAGGGGTAGCGTGCTGACCCACAAGACAGGATAAGCAAGTAAATATGAAAAGGTCCAGAAACTCTATGCTGAATCTGTGCTGCGTAGCTGTCATTACAATCAATAATGAAGGGGTAAGGAAGCTTTGAGCTCACCGGGAACTTTAGAAGAAAAGCTCGCCCTGTCATGGCCCGATGGCTATGAAGGAACGGCACATTGCGATTGATGCCTTAGCATTACGTTCCTACGAGCACACGGAGGATGTGGTAAATGTTGCATAAGGGGTCGGGAGAAGCGAGAAGCTTGAAGGACCAAATTGAATGGAGACAAAGTTATACGTGGCCACTGGAGGAAAGACAGTCCGGGATGCACGAGTACAAGCTAACAGCATGCCGACTCCCACTCGCGTGATTCCGAGTATCTTGCAGGAACCTGAAAGTTCAAGCTTGCCGAGATTCAGGCCTGGTCGGCGTGAAGAAAAGGATATCGCTTTGTCATTGCAACTTTTTCAGACGTAGCAGTAGTCAATGGAAGATTCACTGAGAAAGTTTGAAGTACATTTCCGTGCCGGAGTACTAGTGAGGGAAAATCCGGGACCCGGTCTATTTTAAAGGTTGCACATTTCAGTCGTTCGTGTCTTTCTTTCGCTAAAAATTTGGGGAACACCAATGCCTGACGTGTATACCTGAGAGCACATATATTTTGCGTTCCACAGCATTCGTGCAGTTCCATCCATTCAGAATCCGTGGTTCTCCATCATTCCAACATATGAAGAGAACGCGCTCACCATCCAGTTTCTCATGAAGAACGGAATTATGTCATATTATGTTGTCATCCGTTATCAATCCTAGAAAGCCAAGAAATTCTATGCCCAGTGCCGGATTGCTAGAGTCGGACAACATGAAAACGCTGCTAAAGGTGATGACGATGAAAAACAGAAGTACATTCAGTTACGAGAATGTGTTCCGGCCATCACGCGGCAGGCCGTGGGAATGGCTGCGTCAACCTTTGCAAATGCCGACTCCACAATGAGCTGGCTGACTGAGTAACCTGACTGACTCCTCTGCTCACAATATCAAGATGCCTCCAGCCTCTTATTGTATCAAACAGTTCAAACATGCAGAACGTGTTGAACCTGATCCCAATTCCAACCTTTCTGAAGATAGTCTTGCTGTACTCTATGACATTGTGTGGAAGAATCAAGATGAGGGTGCTCTGTTGTTTCACAAAGAGCCTGTGCAACGTGACGAGAGTAGGCTGAAGAACGTCGAAGTCCCAGAGTACATGACCGTCTTAAAATGGGAAGGCAGCGCGTCTTTTCTTGACGGACATGGGGTAACAGGGATCCTGGTCAGGGGCACATATTGTCGGTCGTTGTGGGCAATCGAGTCTGCTCTGTGGCCGCAGAGGGATACAACCATGGATGTTGACTCGGACACACAATACAACCCCTTCAAGACTAATGCGACATTTTCGAAATCAGAAAGTGTGGAGGGTATAATAGTGTCTGGTGGACCTGGTATTGGTGCGACCATTCACATTACCCTGCTGTGTTCCTGTTGACCATGACTTTAGGAAAGACCCTGTTTATGGTCTATGTTCTTGCACTCTGCCTCCTTGCTCGTCAACCTGTTGTCTGGCAGACGGATTCGAATCACGTACTTGTGTTTGTCGAGGAAGGAGTCTTTTTATGTCCGCTGCACTGGAATCTGCCACGGTACATTCCAGCCGAGGCTTTCTACCTAATTGACTGCAATCGGAATTGCTCTGGTGGTCCTGATCACAATCTTATTACCAGCCTCATCAAATCTGGGAAGGGCAAGCTCCTATATTTCGCATCCCTTCGTTACCAAAACATGGAGTTTACCGGGAAGGAGCCATTAGAGGTACAAACACTATTCATGGAACAGTGTACTCCAGAAGATCTCGTCTGTTGGTATGCTGTTGTCATTTGCTCTTTTGTGTATGTGGTAAATTAATGAGTTTTTGGTAGCCGACTCCTGTGGGACAAAGCGGTCTCAGAACAGCAGATTGAAGCGTTTATTAAGCTTTATGGCTGCTCTGCACGGAATACGTATTTATATGCCAGAAAATTGGCACAGTTTGAAGCGAGGATCGACTATCCCCTCAACAAACAGGTACTATTTGATGCTCTTGCTCAGACATCGGCCGCTTTGAAATCGCCCAGCAAGGAAGACCGCGATTCGCATGATATATTCTATATCGAACCCGACACTACAGATCCATGGACCTACACAATAAAGATACACACCAGACATATATATGATGTGCTCATGCAACGTTTGAGGACACTCGAGCGGCGAGCCGCTGCGGACCTGTTCAGAATGTTCTGCAGCAATGCAAAGTCAAGAGCTTGTGCTGGATTCATAATTGAAGACTGGGCCATTGGCAGACTTCGGCAAGGTGGTGAATGGCGCTTGAATACCATGGAGGTATCAGCAAGGAGGAAAAAAAACTCACATTGGCGTGATGTTGGAAACGGCGGTATGCGTTTTTTTCCGTATAGGGCATCATGGCACGGCAACTATTACAGACGAATGCGTTGATACTCCAAGTTTCTACCCAATCGACAAATTCTCTTATAATTCCAGTGATGATGGCAAGTCTGAGGCACTCCCGAAGGCAGATGGCATTGGCATACCTGTGAAGGCAAATCAACCCACTTTTGATCTGTTTGTCTGGCTTGCAGACGAGAAGCGAGCGATTATGGTTCAAGTGACCGTGTCTCCAAGCCACAGCATTGTCAAGGAGGGTTTGGCGCAGCTAAAGAAGGCTGGTGCAGAGCATCTCGACCTTATTGTGGTGACGCCTGCGTTGCAGGGAGAAAGCATGGATGTTTATACAGACAAGGACGACGAAAGCATGCTAGAACATGTATATCATCTTACCGTGACTGATGGAGACATGGAAGAGATTCCCGAAGCCGTTGTCAATTTGTAGTTAATCGATGTATGTATGATGCCCAAAGAAACTCATTTTTGCTCAACAGGAGTGTGGGACGGTCGAACGAGCTTAATGATAGGAAGTATAGCTCGCATTTCTCTTCAGATACAGAATCATACAGTTAAACCAAGGTCATCAAGACTTGTAGTAACCTACGATTCTGACGGCGAGTCGCATTCTGGCTACTAGTATGGTGAGGAAGAAGATGCTGAATTCAACTGTGCTGGAGGAAGTTTTTGCAATACTTAATTCGTAATTTCGTTTATGTTTGTTCGAACAACAACAATAATGACTAAATGAACAAGACGACAGTGCAGTCCGGTCACGCGTTGCGACTTGTCCTCCCATAATCCGGAAGAAACATGTCTTATTGAATTCTGTCCGAGATGACTTCTCTCTGCCCTCTGCTGTTTCCTCACGTTCACATTCACCACCATTGTGATTCAGTTGCTTTCATGACTGATGACCTGGTCCGAACTTCACAATACTTACGCTAAATGCTGTTTTCAGAGTTTATGCTCCCGGCAATACCCGATATTTATGTATGCCAACACGAGTAAAACAAAAAATGAAACTGACAAGCGCTTAGCGTACCAAAAGGCCATCATATTCCTGTACTAGAGTACGAGTGGAAACTGGCCAGTTTGCCACACTGAGGTTATCCACGTGGGTTACTCACGAGGATAACCACGAGGGGAACTGAAACAGGGAAAAATACTGTGGTGAACTGTATTAAGTAGCATATTAGTCGTTCAAAAAAACAGAAAAATGAGGGAATAAAGTACATAATTATGTTTGTACAAGTCCTCTCCCATTGAAATAAATCATCAACCGTTTGTTAGCCCTACCAGATTCTTGCATTTATTGAGGAAAATTACTATTTTGGGCATATTGCATAATATAGTTAGCTAATTCCCAACATGTTGAAAACGTTGGAAACTACCCTGCTAGTTTTCCACATGTGGGAAACCCTCAAAACAGTTTCCACTCGTACACTATCCTGTACCGTCCTTCCTCTGTCTGACAACGGGTATTCGAAGTGCTGCACATGCGCGGACATAATGAGGAGCAAAGGGGAACTGATAAACGATGGCATACATGACACAAGTATTTACATTCGTTGCTCAGAACCGCAACTTACAGATCGTACCACAGACGGCTAACGCCATAAGCGCGCGAAGTGGACAAGTTATACCGTGCAGATATCTGCACTTACCACGAGTGAATCGATAGTGATTTTCGAACTCAGCATCCCGTTGGTCCACTGTCGGATGCCAGAGCCCGCTGTTGTTTCTTCCTATGTTCGCTAGGGTATAACAACACAATCATCTGGCTTCGTCCTATACAGATCTGCAACTTTATCCCACCTCTTCTTTTTTAGTTTCATCCATGATGGCTGGAATCGGATACGCCGACATTTATGTGAGCCTTCAATGATTACGGCTTGCAGTCGTTTGTTTGTCCCGCCTGTTATTTGTCTGTATTTGTTGCGAGGCTGGTATGATCGACACATTAAGTTACGTATAAGTAGATCGAGTGGCATTTCTCGTCTTTAACACATTGTCTTCCTCCTACCCCACACTAGCCTTCAGATACATCATATATCCAGCGATACCTTTTCACTGTCCGACTCATTGGCGACACTGTTCCTCACACACTCTTACATTTCTAGCAAACACACTTCTAGCTTTCCTCCTCTTGTAAATTGCAGAAATGGACTACGATGCGTATGACGCAATCTTACACCATGTCTTCAAGCAGACTCAGGGGGATGCATGGTTCAAACCGTCAGAAGAGAACGCCTCTGCAGGTGTCTGTCTCCGTGTTCAGCCAGGCCACTTCCGTGTCTTCCCATACGAGAACCACTTCCTTGCACCCTTTGAAGCAGCCGTCCGTGTACTTAACCCTGTTGTCGCGGTTAAGATTCGCAGTGCATCCGTTCATGCTGCTCTTGCGACAACGTACGTACTTCAATAGGCTGTAAGCATCTTGACTGCCAAACGGCTGACAGTTCAATTATCGTAGTTCGAACGATGATGTTGCACTCTACGTCGATCAGAACACGCGTATCCAGATTCTCGAGAACATGAACTGCCTCTCATGCGCAGACAAAGAGCAGTGTGGTGCTTTCATCGTATGTGCCACACATTTTACTTGCTTTCCGCACATATACTGAGATGCACTTATTGTTAGCGTGACGAACGTGTACTTGTCATCTGGGCGGATATCCTTGACAACATTATACCCATTGCACGAGATTTTGAGGATAAGCTTGTGAAACTCGTTTGGCGTGTTCGTCCTCCTCTCTCCCCGTCCACCTCCGCAATAACAGCAGGCTCTATCGGCACGCCCTCCACCTCCCTGTCACAGCGAAATCTTAATGAGAAACGAAAGAGCGAAGATGACTCAGAAGAGCAGGAATCCATTGAAGTACAGCAGCGCGCCAAAGCCGCAGCTGATGCAAAGAGAGGCTTCTCATGGTTTGGCTGGCGTACTACCAAAGATAGGCACGGTTTGACAACGGGCGCCCGCACTGAAAAGATCGATATCGAGGCTGGTGACGACGTACCTGAGGCCCGACCGATTCGACTCTTCGCGCCAGTTTACGGTGGACTAGCCGCTGGCATGTCACTATTCTTCATTGGGCATGGCGTCAATATCCTCGTTCAAGAATGGATGCTTGATGGCAACAAGACACGCTTTGCCCTCCTTGGTACAGCACCATTCTTGTTTTGCGTTTCTCTCTCCTTCTCGTTACAGGTCGTCACGAATATCTCGTATTTGGTTGGCCCGGTTGCGCAGTACCATGAAAATAGCAAATATTATAGCGCTGTCGCGCCAAAGCCAAACAAGCAAGTCGACAACAATCTTCCGCATATTACTATTCAGATGCCTGTTTATAAAGAATCACTCAAGGAAACAATGTGCGTAACTTCTACCGGATTCGGATAATTGAGAAGCTAACGACATTTACAGCACTCCGTCTGTTGAATCGCTTAAGAAGGCCATGCAAACGTATGCACGCCAGGGTGGAACATCAAGCATCTTCATCAATGATGATGGGATGCAATTGATCAAGCCGGAGGATCGTGAGGCGCGTCTGGACTTCTATGCAAACCACGGTATTGGCTTTGTCGCTCGTCCGGCTCATGACAGTGCGAATCCCGATGGATTCAAACGTGCCGGGCGGTTCAAAAAAGCTAGTAACATGAACTTCGGTCTTTCTCTATCTTTGAAAATGGAGGCATGCATCAGGCGGTTGGAGACAGAGCTCGAGCAACGGCGCGTGGAGACTCGTGCTAGCAGATCTGCCAGTCGAGAGGACTTGCATACATTAGTTGGATATGACGATACTGAAGAGGGCGATGACGAAGAGAAGCTCGAAGAGCGTGCTTTGGAGATGGCGATAGAAGAGACATACGTTGAATCCGGGAATAGATTCAGGCCGTGGGCTTCGAATGCCCGTTCTTTACGTATTGGCGAAATCATCCTCATCGTGGATTCAGATACCGTGGTCCCTGAAGATTGCCTGCGCGACGCCGCTCGTGAACTTGCGGAGTGCCCTGAGGTCGCGATCATCCAGCACGGATCCGACGTTGTGCAGGTTGCACATCATTATTTCGAGAACGGAATGGCACATTTCACTCGACGTATCAATCGGTGCATCGCCATGGCATGCGCAAATGGAGAGGTTGCACCCTTTGTCGGTCACAATGCCTTCCTACGCTGGTCCGCTATCCAGGAAGCAGCATTTATTGATGAGGCCGATGCGAAACGGAAGATCTGGTCCGAGTCTAACGTGAGTGAGGATTTCGATATGGCGCTCCGTTTGCAGCTCAAGGGATACACAATCCGATGGTCGAGCTACAGTAACGGTGGATTCAAGGAGGGTGTCAGTTTGACATGCGACGATGAATTGAACAGATGGCAAAAATACGCGTACGGGGTCAATGAACTGATCTTCCACCCGTTCATCCATTGGTGGCGCAAAGGACCGATCACGAAGCAGCTGTACACATTTGTCTGGAGTGATGCGCCACTTCATTACAAGATTTCCTGTTTGAGCTACATGTTCAGTTACTACAGCATTGCAGCAGCCATTTCCTTCACTCTGGTTAACTACCTCATCCTCGGTTTCTCGCTGGAGATTGATAGCTATTACATGCACAATTTCGAGATCTGGCTCGCATGTGCGGTCGTATACTCTATATCTGGTAATATTGGTTTCACATTGCTCGAATATCGTCTAGGAACGAGAAGTCTGCTAGATGCGTTGGTAGAGAACTTGACTTGGGTGCCCTACTTGTAAGTGACATCTACCTACGACTTTTTTTAATCTGAAGTCATGTGACAGATTATTAATTTTATTTTTTTCTAGCTTTTTCTTCTTCGGCGGCCTCTCAGTGCATCTCGCACAGGCAATTCTTGCCCACCTGTTCTCATACAACATCACTTGGGGAGCAACGAAGAAGGAAGTTGAGCGATCCAACTTCTTCATCGAAGTACCCAAGATTCTACGCCGCTTCTGGCTCAGCATCGTTGTCTGTGGGCTGATCATGGCTGGGATGATTGTTTTAAGCACGAATGCAATTCCGGCGCAATGGCGTATTCCGGGCTCCGACTGGGCTGTTATCTTCCCACTGGCAGTTACTATTGGATGCCACTTGTTGTATCCGGTAGTTTTGAATCCGTCGCTGATGATCTTTAGCTACTGAAGCTCAGGTCTCCACGGCGCTAGTCACTTGCATATTTATGTATGTCTGACATCTTGGATATCGGCATCTTGGATTTACTGGTCTCTGTCCGAATATTCTGGCTTCTGGCGCTTTTGGTCCGTAATATATCTAGGAAACTATGGCATCCTCTTGTAATCACAACCGCAATGGTTCACGCCTCGTCGCATGAACAGACTAGACCAGACTCGATTATAAACGCACCTGTATTCTTCTTGATCTCCGTGTATGAAAACACAGTATGGACTTGGAGTGATGCCTACGCTTTTGGTACAAAGTATGATGAACAATGATAATATTTAAAGAGGATAACCTTAAGGTTTCTAAGATAAACGTGAAAGCCTGATATTTGCTTCTGTGCTACTATCGTCTTGTGCCGGCCGTTGTTGAGCTCGACATTGACTGATGGAGAAATCTGGTGAAGTTACCGGGAGACAGTGACGCTGTAACTTTGCTATTCGCTCCGGAAGTAGAATCGAGTCGAGGAAGCGTTGATGAATACCAGAATAACCAGACATTTGCTGGCGCTTTCTAATATTAGACCGTGTTAATCTAAGCGTGCTAGTTTGCAAAGCAAAGGTCGACGATGGACTCAATTGGTGCCATTGCGAAGGGCTTGATGAAATGTAACGATGCCAAATGCATCAGAGTATGACGAGAAGCTGGACGACACCTCTCTCGATAAAAGGGCCGGGGGTAAAGTCATGAGTCGAACAACACTGGAGAGCGTGCATTGTGAGGGCTGGAAGTGGGGTGTTTTGTATATGCCATGGCAATCAATACGGAACGGGTAAGGTACCGTCGAATTGACCGGATACTTTAGAAGAGATGTTCGCACACTCGCCCTGCCTTGGCTCGATGGTCGTAAAGGAGAGACAAATCGCAGTTGATGCTCTCACTGTGTGTTCCTCCAAGCACACGGCATTCGTGGTAAGAAACTCGACCTGACTTGGCTCGAAGGCTGTGATGGGACGGCACATTGCGAACGACGCCTTAACACTACGTTCTTACTATCACATGGGGAGTGTAGTAAGAACTGAGTAAAGGTCGGGAGAAGCAGGAAGCTTGAAGGATAAATTTGAATGGAGACAAACTTGTTCGAGGAACTGGAAGAAAGACAACCCGAGACGCACGAAGCTTCCACTTCTATACTTTGGTTATCTTACGACAACCAAAAGGTTCGACCATCCTGTGCGTTCCTCGGGCCTGCCGAGACTTAGACTTAGTCGGCGTGGGCAAAAACCAAGTTGTCATATAATCGCTGCATTTTTAAAATCTGGATAAATGAGCGGGAACTTGAAAGTGAGGAATGAACAAAGTACAAGACAACAATTCATCGCATAAAATTTTTCGAACTATTGTAAACCAGTCCCCTGTTGCCAAGAGACATCCTTGATTGGAGACGAGCAGGGATCATCAAGCATTCCGTGTACCTTCCTCGTTTGAGTCTGCCACTGGGAGCCCTGTGAAGGATCAGATTATCCATGGCAAAAGAGAAACAATGGGAAATACCTTCGGCAAATTCGACGTCGCTGAGTACTCTCGATCCGTGAGAGGTTCCTCGGTTCATTCCCCTCTCACCTGCCTCCTTTAGATTGATCAGAAGACGGCTTCCAAGGATGCAGAGAACGGTTGGATCTCCAGCTCTACCCAGAAGGCTCGCAACAAAGGGACTACCACCCCGAATCGGATAACTTATTATCTGCATCGCACAACAATATGCCACACTATAGCAGTTGGGTCAAATGATTATGCGCGAGTCCGAGTACTCCACTTACAATGCATAATACAGGACTTGATGTTCAATGAGGACTCTGACAATATGGAAGTTCTTGAAGCCGCAAAACGTCATCCAGTACTCTTTTGCTTTGAAGAGTACCAGGCAAAATAGAATTGTTTCATATGTGAGAGGACCAGTCCTATATCTCTTTAATAGGGCCAAGCTATTTAAAGTAATGTTAAGTGTATTGCTCACTATGAGATGATTGCCAGCAATGGTGGAATGTGCCTTTTTGTCCCGCATACGCCGAATCCCCGAGCGACGCGATCAAAGGTTACTGAAGTACGCTGCTTATCAACTCTCTTTTCACTTGGCTTATTAGTTGATCGGTGGCCTTACCCTCTGCAAATAAAGTAAAACGAATGTTAAGGCTGAAACAGATGGCTGCATTTATGACAAAAAGGGCTTTGAGACAAATCGAAAGTCTCCTATCTGTCGAGCTACGTTGAGAAATCGTCATGAGGACTAGCACACTTACTATTCTGGTATAGTGCCAATACGCGAATTTGAAGTATATCTATAAAAATAATCATATGGTGATAATATCCACTTGGTACATTAGAGGCGTAACTTACAGTCTATTAGAAGAATTATAATCAAGTCTAGTAGCTGTGTTACATTAGAATTGTAATGAAATACAATAATGGCTTACAGCAGATGCTACTAGTCCAATATGATGCCTGGCCTGATTATTAAGTCAATAGCTTTATGGCACATGGATGGTTAGGAGGTACTACACACAGCTATAGGGCGTAACTGTTAAGAAAGGGGAAAGAGAGGTTATGTGAGAGGCTTAGAGAGATCACACAAAGAGGGGGGATAGTGGACTCGGCTCGCTCTCTCGCGGCTTGCTTCATCGTCCGTTGATTAGTTAGTCTATATATAACTATGTAGGTATGTCTCAGATGTAGAATGTATGATGGAAGGTATTCCATCATCGTTCGTCATTGCTTGTAATGTAGTTT